TCGTCGTTGCACAAAAAGCCGTTTATCCACGTGCTTTTAGTTGGATCCGTACAATGTCATGCATTTGTTTTCCTAGTTCACTGAAAGAAATTAACACCCAGCTGCATAAGCTTCAGGTTTTATTCAACGTACGAGCGCATGTACAGGCTTAGCTTTTCTGTCAACACCGTAAAAAGTAAAAAGCCAGCGCTGAAATAATTGTGTTCTTTTGTCGATATTCCTGGATGTTACTGCATTATAAATGGTATCGGCTATGAAGATAATTCCGGTGACTATAGATACTCTGTCACTGGTGATTTATGTGGACGCGGCGGCATACTGGCATTTTGATAACCACTGAGCCACTGTTCCGTGACATTCGCTCTGCTCCAAACGTTACACCTAAACACCTAACCTTGTTTTTGTTTAAATTCGTCAGAAATGCACAAGCAATCGCTTGTGAAAGATTCAAGTGTTTGGAAGGTTCATGTCAATGTTTATGATCATGACACTACTTCTGTGGTTCCCATACCTGCTTTTCCTGTTACTCAAACGCTAAGATGTGTGCTCAAACACATCAGATTTGAAGTCGCACAATTTCATTAAAACAGTGTGAAAAGACCATTTTTAAACCTTCTCGCAGACAAGCGCGGGTGGAATTGGCCTCAAAGAAATATCTTCATGTCCCAAGACAAATGCTTTGGTATTCAAGGCATAACAATCATTTTAAAGTTTGTGTTGTGTATGGAGTTCTAAGTCAGTTCACCAGGAGGTTGGTTATTTCTGTGAAGCGATTCAGTAAAGTTCATCTGGACCGAGGAAGTGCTTGAGAGCTGAATCTAATTGCAGAAGAAGATTCTAAGTGCGAACCGAGTCTGAAGTCCAGTATTTTGGGGTGTCCTATTCCCCTTTTTTGAGATAGAAGTCATCTGCATGGTGACCCTTGCTTCTTGTCTGTTTCCAATGTTCTTTAGAGGTAAATTCGCCCCCCCCCTCGTTCCAGCTGATTTACACCGTCAATGAACTGTGTCACCATCCGGGGAGTCGTTTTTCGTTGCAGAGCCTGCTCAAGTCCTCTCTCATGTCATCTTCCTATCATATCAGATGTTTAATCCAATTATACTGTGATCCAGTCATGATCATTGCCAATATTTATAAAACCCTGAGGACACACGAAGTGTTAAACATTGTCACCATTAAAACAACACTCTGTCGTTGGTTTTTTTTTATATCAGCGTGATCTCGCTTGATTTCTTCACTGCGTCTGAAACATTCAGGCTTTCTAACTAATTTACATTCATTTATAGTCGAACACTTGTCACGTTACTAAGCATACCACGATCATACTACATGAGTGCATTCTAAGCCAAATATCAAGAGGCGGTGAACTTTAAACACATTTTGAGATTAATCAAATTAGCCAATCTTAACATTAAAAGCTTTTACTGGATATTTCATGACATTTCAAATTCTCACCTTATACATAAATGTACCAGCTTACAAATTGTTCATCCCCGACCTCTGGTTCTTTTTGAGCCATGCGTTCTTAAGGTGAGCTAAGCTAAGCACCTCCATCTAAGTTTCATTTTTCAGAAGTCATCTTTCTGATTTAAGTGCAACAGTGATGTCACGCAAATATACTAAATTATGTACAATCGAGACTCAATGTCTCCTTATCTACCTAACTTAATTAATTGAATCACTTGGAGGGTCGATCTCTTATACACAAACGATAACTTTTATTCAGGGTTGTAGGCATGATGGATTTGTACCTCGGAACACTGAGCATGCGCTATCACGTGAAGAATGTTATCTTAGATTGGTAGGGAACCCTGTCATAAATTAAGTCCATTGTTTGTTAGCATAAAGCTTGTGTTTGTTCATAAAACTTGAGCTATATATACAAGCTGTTTGTTTAGCACAGATCATTCCATTGTACAATCATAATTTGTTATTCACAAGACTCAATTACTTCTTCAATAATGTACTAATTGCCGATTTATCCATCTATATGCTTTCAGTAACTCCGAATACTGCTTGTTCCCCTTCTCAATATAATGAATTTTTCTTCTTTTCTATTCAAGTCTTATTCTTATTCACTTATGTCAAATGCATACAACATCATGCAAGCACAATTGCTAAAATGATCAGTCAAAAATGAGCATATAAACGAGTTTTCAATTCACATCTAACATCGAAATTTCGCAAGGTAGGTGGTACCCAGCAGAACTGGTTCCCTTTGGTGATTTATATCCCAGGTATTTACCTTAATTGAATGATGGTTACTTAATTAACCAAATAAAAGACTGTTGAAAAGACTGTGTACAGAATTATTTGCACACAGTTTTTTCTCCGATTCGTGAAGCCAGTTTTGGTAAAAATAAAGCCTGTGTTTGAATACACCACTGACGATTAAAGCTGTTCTTTTTTATTTCAAAATCTAACACGAAATGGTCAACTTTCAGACTACAAACTCCTGTGTCTGAGGTGTATTCTTTTCACTTTCTTTTAAAGTTAACATTGCATCGTCGGTGACAAAATACACCGTAGTACGAAGTGCAGCCACGTCAGAATCGTATAACTAACACAAACGTTCACCTGAGGGCGGTATTCAAACTTAACGACCACGACTTGAGCGCAATGCGGTTGATTGCAAAGATTTCAGTATCAGTTTGCATATCACAAAATTATTACTGATCATCTCATCGACCAAACCACAAAAAGTTAAGTCTCATATAGATTGAAAGAAAAGAAATACCAAGACAACATCTGATTTCTATTTATTAATTTCACCCTTGCTTAATTAAGTATATGTACATATTTTTTTTCCATTCCCTGTTAGATTCTGTGTTAGCTCTTCATGAAATGAGCATACAATAATTGCAATGAACCCTACATCACTTGTTTTGCGATTTTCTTGCCAAAAAACATTATTCCCGTATAAACTAGTTTGCTGTGCATGGTCATGTTTTCGGCAATGGATGATTTCTATTCAATTTTATGGTCACAAATTTCAAAAAAATTAAATAAAAAAGTATGCGTCTTTGCTTCTGGACTTTTTTTTTACTGCGTAGCTTGATAAGTGGTTTCTATTATGGGTCCCCAGTTTTGGTACTAACATCGACGCAGCTTCATTTCACATTTGACTATTCGATGGCCTTCCCATCCATCCCATGTTATACCGCGATCATTTGGACCTTGTTGATATTCCCCATTCAGGCCGTACGGAGCACCAGAGGTACCATTGCATGTGCCGAGCCACCAACCTCCCTTCAGCTCAGCTGCACAATTAGCATTGGTATCCTCATCATTGTCCATGTCGTATGTAGAGAAGCTTCGACCACTGAGATGTGGAGGGAGGGGACCTGATGCAGACGTTAGAAAGAAAAGCATAAAAGATGTCCAACAATCCATTTTTACTGATTTGACAATAATTGATTCTTGGTTTTAAAAAACAGTAAATAATGAGAAAGAACATACAGGCATTGTGATATGCATCTGTTGGTCGCACTCTTAATCTTACTGGGGACCAGTGGCGCCACCAAAATAATGTTACAGGTCTGACCCTAGGCAAGGTTTCCAAATTCAGTGTTGTGGATTTAGTCTTTAAACCAGTATTTGCTGAGTTGCCCTGAAAACATTTATGGCATTTTTTACACCCTAAAGTTTTGAATCTGGAAGCCCCCCCCCAAAAAAAAATCAAAGGGGGAGTCTTAGGTCTAGGAGAAATGAGTCCACGTTTTTCTCGGTCGTTAATAAATTAGCCCAAACCAGTCTGTTTCATTTTGGTGCACTGTGTCTGCAGGACTAATCCATCCTACCAGCCTTATATGATCCACCGTGAGTCCAAGTGTATTTGTCGCCGCTGATGCTGAATCCCTTGGCCTGGTAGGTTTGATGCTCTGCCTGGTCATCCTCCAGATCTATCCGTAACTTCCACCTGTTCTTTGATGTTAGCTGACGAAGTTTCTGGTTTCCCAGCCAGAACTCGCCTGTCCAATTGCCGAATCCGTCTCGGTACTTCGTCCAGCTACGAGTGAAATTCACCGAGCCATCTAACCGCCTCTGAAACACCTACAATCCAAGATTTTACTTCCCCTTTAGTGTTTTGTCGTGCTTTGAAATCTATATAATGCATACACACAGCCGTAAAAGTTTATTTTTAGGTTTTATTTCCGCGTAGTTATTAACAGAGTCCGACCCAAACCCGATCTCACCGGACAAATAAAGACAGTAAAACCGACCCGGAATTGAACTGACCCATAATTTTTTTTTAAATTAATATACGAGTATTGGCTTTATCATAGTAAAAATGTGTGCGCCTTGTGCTCATGAACATATCCGCTCTACATGAAATCTTTTGGAAATCATTACGAGATGTCGAGGTGCTACAGTGTATCTTTGATACCTGTAATAATGAATAGAATTCAAGTTAACAACTACAAAATGGGTAATACTGGGCACCAGTAATACTCGTATTGCCCAGCAATCCGCACAATACAGTAATAGTTAATATTATAAGTACACTTGCAAATCAGCATGAAGTTGGCGCGAAAATTTCACTCATTTCAATTATTCAGAAAAGCCATATATAGAATCACGCATTAGGACATCAAGAAAATACTTTACCATTCAGAAACATACTGGTTACGTATGGCGTACACGACGAAGCTAGTTTTGATTGACGCGCACCAGGGGCCGCTGTAAGTATGCCAGCCATATTGAGCAAACGAATTCAAAAGCAATTCCAAAAATCAAATGAGACAAATTTGGAAGAAAATTTAAAAACACAAACCCGTTTTCAGCGGTCGTAATATATTCTGATGTACCAGATAACAACTCATATTATTTTGTCTATCAAAACGAGTGGAAAAAGACATCGGAAAATATTCGAACAGAACAGTTCTTAGACATTCTGACTTATAGAAAAAAAATCTTAATGTCTTATTAATAAATGCTAGTCAGGCTGACTACCATGTTGGTCCAAGAAAGAAGATATTAGACCCAAATGTTTGACTGAGATAAACGAATCATTTTGGATATGTCTGCAACCAAATGACTGACTTTTGTCTATACAGGTTGGAGTAATTGTGATCGTGAAATGTTGTTTCTTTGCAGAGAAATTCCCTTTTTTGTGGCTATGTCAATTTAATACCAACTTACAATCCAGCCTCCGTAGTCAGGGTCCATATCACAGTAGACCTCCAGACCGCTACGGTACTTAGACGGGTAGATGGTGTACACCACTTGCAGTGATATCAAAATTATACAGGGAATGGCAATCTGAAAGGAAAATAATATATCCCTTGAATGGACATTTTGGATGCATGAAAAAGAACTCACTTTCAATAAATGTATGGACAGTTAACAATTATCATGGACTAAGCCCGCTGCATCTAATCAGATTTGTGATTCAGTCACTATTTAAGAATTAAAGCAATTATTATTGCTGGTCTTCAACATGACAAGGTGCTTTTAATCATTTTATAGGGAGGGGATGGTTACTTTCGTCCCCTATGTTCTCGAGTATCCTATGATAAATCGCTTTAAAACTAAACATGACATATATATTCAGACATCCATTCAATTAAACACACGAGGTTGGTAACACATCCATTAATAGTTGAACATTTCCACGCAGCCGATGGAATCGAAGTTGCCCGAAAAGCCTCGTAGTGGGTATGCTCTGTTGAAATACCAAACTAGCTTTTATCCAAGACTTCCTTGCGCTGATCCTAAATTTTGACCAATCGACGGGCGTGTATCCAGTGGCGTATCCAGCGGGGAGCAGGAAACACGCCCCCCCCCATGTTTTTTTTTTTTACCTTGAGTGAGACGTTTGATTTCATTCCCTCCCCGACATCATGCGGAATGAGCCCGAAGCCATTCGCTTTTGAATTTGTCTCCCCCAACACCAAAAGCTAGGTCTGCCGCTGGTACCTTCGCTGGTACCTATCGTATATATACCTTCGCTGGAAAGCATAACATTTGCAAGCAGTTGTATTGAAGTCGAGGTCCAGTAA